AGTACATATGACAGGCTGCACCACTGAATAGTGAATATATACATTTTCGCGATCTGTTCAGGTTAGACAAGTTTAGAAATAAGGATTAAAAGAGATAGAAACAGTAACTACAAGTCAGACGTATTCACCAATATTCACTCGCGAAAAAAAGCCTTTTGTGTATTGTTGTTCTGTTCTTAATAATTCTTCTTCTTCTTTAATAATTCACTTGTTATTAAAATGCAGGGTTGCCAGATTGGGCTACTTATCGCCAACTGGGCTATCTCAGATGACTTTCGGCTACTCGAAAAAAAGCAAAAATAGCCAGTCGCCAATTTGGGCTATTTCGAGTTTTTACCAGTGTCGGCAATCTGTACAAATCGAATGTTAGAATAGTATATTTATATAAATTCTATTTTTACTCAAGACTGTTAAGTCTATTTTTTGGAATAAAACATTTTATTCGACTTATTTTTTATATTTTATATACCCATTTCTGTATTGTAGAATCTTAGAATAAATTGGTTATTTTATAAGTAACGTGTAGATAGTAGAAGAGTAATCTGTGCTAATAGTAAAGTTGTTGCTTGTTGTCAGTTGTACCAAAATAATCTAGTTTTATAATCATATATATATTTACCTTAGTTAAGTAATTATTCCAGAGATGAAGTATTTATTTATTGTCAGAGAATTATTTTTGAATTTAAATCTAGTTCTTTAGTACTTATTGCTGCCATCTGTTGAGTAGTAGCTAAATTACATATGTCAAGATCAAAGTGAGCTCAAATTTTTCCCATGTTGCAGCTACTAGATTATTACGGCCATAGTTGTACTTGTATGCATTATATGTTCTGTGGGTTGTATTCTTACCCTTACCCGAGAACAACAAACAGTTACTCTATTTCTCAGGGTTGTCCACATACCACTAGAAAAGGGTTATCCCCAGACTCACAGAACAAACTCAAACCCGAATGGTTTTAAACTTCAAATGTATAAAAATTATAAATAACGGTTTTTGTTACTAGATGTCAGGCTATTTTGGGCTACTTTCAATTTTGGTTTGGCTACTAGGTTAAAAATAAATCTGGCAACCCTGAGAGGCGCTGCTGTAGAAGTGTTTCGGTGGTAGCGGGAGAAAGAGTAGCCTAGATGAAATGAGTTAATATAATAATAATTAATAATATAATGTTCATTTCTAATTTCGGCTTTGTGGCGGCTTAATTTGTGTAATGTTTGTGGTTCTTCTTAGTTTTGTGCATTTAACTGTTGCAGTTCTTGGGGGGACCAATCACAGACTGGGACCAATTAACCTTTGCAGCAGTTAGGTTATGTCGCTTAAGTATTTTGTAGGTAAGTTTATCTCTTATTGTACGTATTTAACTTATTAAGGATTTTAAGTACGCAGTGAATTTCACTTTACAGAGTAGTGGAAATATAACGTATCAGATATTTTGGGATGTGGTCACTGTTTATATTTTTATAACGATGAACATTTGACTGTGTAAAAATACTTTATTCTTTTCATTTGGCTACGTCACTACTATATTACTCACGAATATGATTATTTACAGAAAACATATGTACCTATGTATAAAATATTTTAGCGATAAATCACAAAACCGACGTTTGTCGTCTACGACACGAAGGGTAGAGCCGGGATGTACCTCAGCGCGTTGTTGATGTAACTCGAGTGTTCATCCAAATCGGTCACCAGCTGTTTGATTTTCTTTACGATGTCCGGCTTCTTCGTGTCGCTCCTCTCTATGATCTTGTTGAGCACCGTTCTCAGTTGGTAAGCGGAGGACTCCTTCGACGACTCTATTAACACCTGAAGGACCGCGTCAGAGTAGCCCTAGAGGAGAAAGAGCGTTCTAGTTATATGATGGAAAAAAATTGCAATATTAAGCGGGTAGCGGAGAAAATTAAATCGTTTACACTCCATTCAAAATTAAGAAATTACAGTTACTATATTTTCATATTTGAAATTTTACCTGGTACTTGTTGAGCCCTAATCGCTTTGATTCTTTGTTCAGGAGATCGTACAAAGATAAAAGAGTGACGTAAGCCTTGGTCGGAGGCACTTTTTTCTGCCTGTATAGTTCGTATCTGCAAAGGAATAAAGTTGTGGTTATAAAAAAAGTTATGCGGCTGTAATCGTTGAATTGATACGCCTCAAGAATAAGTAGTCTTTGTTTAATGTCTTTTAAACTAATGTATTATAATATTCAACACAGTGCGCAAGCTTATGACTACAATTTCTTTTTTTTTGGTGTTGCATGCTTTAAAATGTAGCTTAGTGATTGTAAGATATCTGCGTTACTGGTTGCAGCACTTTGAGGCACAGTTCAATTTAAAAATACGGTTAGATGATTCAAATATACATATTATGGGAAGTGCTATGATGCATACCCTTAAGCGGATTTTAAAGGCTAAAAAAAATTATTAAAGGGTAAGGATCAGTCGGAAAATTTAGTTTGGGTTATAAGTAATAGAAAAAACAAAAATTAAACTCGAGACAAAGGGAAATTGAGAAATGGGGGTGGTGTTTAGGGGTTGAAAATGAATTTTGAATGTTCTACAAAAAAGTTGTAGATTATAAAAAAATGGAAAACTTTTATAGAGGATATTTTTTCGTTTTTATTATTTTTTTCTCTGGCAAAAATAAAGCAATTTACATGAAGCTTTGTGAAATTGTACCTTTTTTAACTAAATAAGCATGATATTTTTGAAAATTGGAAAATAAGTGGTTTTCGAGATATTAAGTTTTCCAAAAAAAATATACAACGTTCCACGAAAAATTTTCTTGATTTCTTTTCAATTTTAATACTCTCATTTTAACTGTTGAAATTTCTACATTAAATTGGTTTGGTATGTTTATGGTTTGTTTTTCATGAAACCGCCTTAAAATAATTGAGAAAAACCAAAAATACGACTGCGGATCCTGAATTTTTCAATCACTAGAAATGAAAATTTTTCTATGCGCATAAAAAAAAACGTGGGCTTAACTTTTGGCGGCACAATATGTTAAAAAAATTTTAAAAATGTCATTTTTCTTCCTATTTAATTATCTATAACTTTTCAAGAGTTGACTGGCGAAAATGGATGTTTGTAATTCAATTTTTTACAAAATATGACTAGTTACAGATCGAATGAATCATGATTATTATTGTAAAAATCGAAAAAATCGCCATTTTGTTATTGACAAGTGTCAAAGTTTGTAACTTATGTGTATTAAATTGTGCTAAATAAAAGAAATTCAGTATAATATAGCAAGGACCAGTGGGAAATTTTAGTTTGGGTTATAAGTAACAGAAAAAACAAAAATTAAACTCGAGATAAAGGGAAATTGTGAAAATGAATTTTTGCGATTTTTGCCGAAATATGATTTCCTATAGTTCAGACGGTAGGTATCTGTTTCATAAAGTCCATATTTGGGTGAATCGGATAACCACGGAGATTTTTGGCTTTTTGACTTTCAAATATCACTAGAAATGAAAATTTCTCTATGCGCATAAAAAAAGAATGTGGGCTTAACTTTTGGCGGTAAAATATGTTAAAAAAATTCGAAAAATGTCATATTTTTCTTCTTATTTAATTATGTATCTCTTCAAGAGTTGATTTTAGGCGAAACTGGAAGAGGAAAAAGCATTTGTAATTAAATTTTTTACAAAATATGACTAGTTACAAATCGAATGAATCATGATTATTATTGTAAAAATCGAAAAAATCGCCAAAAATGGGGTTAAAAAACATTACTTTTTAGGGAATTTTTTTGGGGTCTTTAAAATGGGTTTAGGATCTTCATACTTGGCTCAAGAAAACTTCATCTTATGTAGAATCGTCACCAAATTTCATCAAAATCGGTTCTATAAATTTTGTATAATAATTTTGCAATCCAGATTTTGAAAAAAAAAACATGCAAATTTTCAAAATTTTGCACAGCAAAAACGAAGGCCCTTAGATACTTGAAAATTTAATCACATATAGAAGGGCTCTCAAGCTTTAAAACGCTTTTTGAAAAATTCGAATCCGTCAATTAGAAGAGCTCTGGCGCTTGTTTAAACATTGGTCGAATTTTTGTATTTATAAACAATTAGAATAACTTTGTGAATATTCAATCAAATCAAATTTTTTAGAGCGGTTTTAATAGTTATTGGAAAGACACTTCTATTAAAAAAAAACAGATCGATTGGTTAACTAGGTACGTAGTTATAGCCGATCAAAGTTAAGTAGAAGTAGGAGAAGAAGTAGAGTACGAGAATGAGGTGTTAGACAACGCGGAAATTAATAATTATTTTGAGTTTGAATATGAAGTTGATGAATATAATATCGAAGAAGAAAACAAAATCCCATGTAAAAAAGTTTGATTAAATTTTTTATATGTATATGTATATTTTTATACATATAAATAAATATAATATACATTCATAAATTTAAAACAAAAATTTGTGTACATTTTTTAAATCCTGATTTATTAATACAATTAAGTATGAATAAAATATTATTGATTTTTTATAATTAATTAATTAATTTAATCATCATTTCTTTTGTGATTAAAGTATAATTCAAATACTATTTATTGTTTAAAATATAAGCAAATGAGAAATTAACTCATTATATTACTAATTTTCGACATATTTTGAAAATAATTGTTGTTTAAACAATTTTAGAATATTTAAATAAATTTGTTTTTGATCTTTGATAAACAGTATATAAGTTTATGCACTTACCTTTGATACAATAAAAAAATAAAGTTGATAATTAAAGGAAGTTTAAAGATAAATAATTATCGGACTGTTGAAAGACCAATAATTATTATTAACGATAGGCATTTGAAAATACGCTAATTGTTTTTTTTTAAATCGCGAGACATCGAAAAAAAATATCAAAATCGGACCTCTAGCTCTAGAAGCTGAAATATTAAAAATTTTTAAGCGCGTCGCGGTTTTGAACTCGCCGATTCAATTTCGAGCAGGCCGAAGCGGCCGCGCTCTCTGCTTCCCCCACCACCACCACCCGTACGATTTTCTTGAATTTCTCGCTTGCATAAATAACTTTAAACACGTTTTAAAGTAGGTTGCCAATGAAGAAAAGTATTGCAAACTTAGACCTGGTAAGTACTCGGAATACCAAAGGTATTTTTCGAAAAATTAGCCCGGATGTCCCAGTACATTTAGTGTAAATGACGGTTAACTTTGATCGGCTATAACTACGTAACTAATTGACCAATCGATCTGTTTTTTTTTAAAAAAACGTCTTTCCAAGAGTTTAAAAACTATTTAAAAAAGTTTGATTTGGTTGAATATTCACAAAGTTATTCTAATTGTTTATAAGTACAAAAATTCGACCAATGTTTAAACAAGCGCCAGAGCTCTCCTAATTGACGGATTCGAATTTTTCAAAAAGCGTTTGAAAGCTTGAGAGCCCTTCTATATGTGATTAAATTTTTAAGTATCTAAGGGCCTTGGCTTTTGCTGTGCAAAATTTTGAAAATTTGCATTTTTTTTCAAAATCTGGATTGCAAAATTATAATGGAAAATCTATGGAACCTATTTTGATGAAATTTGGTGTGATGATTCTACATAACATGAAGTTTTCTTGAGCCAAATGTGAAGGTCCTATACTTTTTAGGTAATTTTTTGGGGTCTTTAAATTGGGTAATGTTTTTTAACCCTATTTTGGCGACTTTTTCGATTTTTACAATAATAATCATAATTCATCCGATTTGTAACTAGTCATATTTTGTAAAAAATTTAATTACAAACATTTTTTCCGCTTCCATTTTCGCCTAAAATCAACTCTTGAAAAGATACATAATTAAATAGGAAGAAAAATTATGACATTTTCGAATTTTTTAAACATATTGTGCCGCCAAAAGTTAAGCTCACGTTTTTTTATGCGCATAGAAAAATTTTAATTTCTAGTGATATTTGAAAGCCAAAAAGCCAAAAATCTCCTCCGTGGATATACGATTCACCCAAATATGGATTTTTTTAAACAGATACCGTCTGGACTATAGGAAGTCATATTTCGCCAAAAATAGCAAAAATTCATTTTCACAATTTCCTTTTATCTCGAGTTTAATTTTTGTTTTTTCTATTAGTTATAACCCAAACTAAATTTTTAATTTAAGTAACAAATCGGTAAAAACAATGGAAAACTAGCACGACGCCACACAATTATTAACATATTCCAATAACATAACCTCATTACTGATCTGAGGCTGGAAATCTGTTGGGTTGGTACCTCTGAACTTCACGAAGAAATTGACGGAAATTAGAACATGCTCTAAATCGTCAAGAACTTGATGAATAAATTCATGAAGTTATTTGACAGCAGATTTGGTGCATTACACTTGTCCAATTTCTTGATGAAGCGACTTTATGAATTAATTCATCAATAAACTGTCAATGTAAAACAGCTAGTAATGTTTATGCTATTTCATTTGAATGTCGAAATGATATATCAGAATTTTTTCGGTTGCAATAGCAAAATGTTTAGAACTATGTACATACAAAACTTTTCACAAGTTAAAATTATTTTTTTTAATGTATTTTAATAGAGGTTAAAAAAGGTTATTGCTATATGATTTAGCAGAAGCAATTTGATGATTCTGGTTCTGGAACCTGTTATATTTATAAGTTTTATTTTTAGTAAAAGCATTTGGACTGTTTCAAAACAATCTACATTTATTAAAAACAAATATAAAGACCGTAATCTGTAAATTTATCTAATGAAAGGCATATTCAACATATTTTTTAGCACGTATGTCTTTATCTGAGGTTGTTTTGTACAAAATAAAGCCAACATTTGATATACAGGCTGTTCCACCTAGAGGGGTTCTTCTGTAACTCTGTAATTACAAAATTTATAAAAAAATGGCTTTAATAAAATTGTCTGGAAATTGTCACGTTTTGCTCCAAGATGACAGGATAGAGTAATTTGTGCCAGAACGAACTGTGAAAATTGCAGGTTTCTAACTGTTACGGTTTAGACGCTATCTAGCCTCATTTAGAGAGCTGAAATCGTGAGTTTTCTCAAAAACAACTGATTATTTCGAAAACAGTGTTATAAACACCATGTACATTTAATAAAGTCTACCTAATATTAACCAAGGAATTCAAAAACGCAATAATATACAGGGTGTCCCATTTAAAATAATAGACCGGGAGATATTAGACTGAAGTTCGACGACGTCTTTCTCGTTT